GAAACTCCTAATGCAATAACTGTTTTAATTTGCATCTCTTACATATTACAAAACATATCAGCAAAAATTATAAAAAGGATGTAACAAAAAATTAAAGTTTATTCATAGAAAAAGACATTCAGATTAAAAGCAGCTTCCTCAGGCTTTAAGCCTGAAGATGCTGATTTTTTCATTAAATGGACAACCTCAGACTTTGAGCCTGAGGGTGCCCATTTAACAAGAACAAGTGAGAATGTTAGCTCTATTATTGGTTTTTGGTTTCAGTTGCTGCTTTTATCAAGTTTACCCAGTTGTGAGTGGTTGTTTTACATTCAGATTAATATTTTACAGTCATGAAATCCTTCAAATGGGATGCATAATAAAGTCTAAATTTATAAAGAAAACTAGCAGATGAGTCTGGCATTGCCTGGGCAGAAAATGACAACAGCAGTTATTCGGATTATTAGATTATTTCATATTTCTAACCCTTTATTATATTATAGTATTTTATTTATATTTACAAAGGATATCTTACGTAAGAGTTTATCACAACAAGTGCCCAATCTAACACATTTTAAAAATTCTTTAAATTGTATACAGTAGAGGAATAAAGAATTTTAAAAATGTGCTAGATTGGGCACTTGGTATGAAAAACCCTTACATAAAGCTGCGGTCACACCTTGCAATTTACAGCAGTGTAGGTAACTGCAGTTGTGACGGCTGTTCTCATTAACTAGTAAACTCCCTTCAAAAACTGGCGCAACTGCAGCCGCAACTAGAAACAAAAAGTTTGTTCTACTCATGCCAATTGCAAATCTGCATCCAATCAGCAAATGCTTTTGTGCCACATGATATGGTGGCAACATTGAAAATAGTTCATTATCATGGTGGAAAGTAAGAGGATTGATCAAACTTATTCAGGCTTATGAATGTCTGTGGGATTTTAATTCTTTGTTTTGTCAAAAATTTTATCTCTGTGTATTCTTGCAAGCTCTGACAAAATGATTGTATTTTTTTTTCTTTTGTTCATTGCAGAAAATAAACTGCTGGCCATTTTAATAAGAAAAGTGGCTAAAATTTTATAAATACTCTGAAGTAGAACATAAGCTGTCGGTAAACTCATGAGAGTAGTCAAAAACAAACTACTGCAATTTTATTAGTTTATTATGAGGTCATGTATTTTCAAGTTGCAATGCCAACAATGTGACCATAACAAGGTGCACGCAACTTTTGCTTGTTGCAGTTGTGGTCACCTGCAGGGCTGGAAATTGCAAGCTGTGACCACGACTTTTGATAACCTTTATAGTTATGTAGCTGATCTTATCCATTTTTACTGGGTGCAAAAGAATTACATTCTCCCTTTCTTCCATGGCTAATTAGAGAAGTTTTAGATGGGTCTAAAAATATGTTCAATTTTTCGCAAAACTCAAAAAACTGCATCTAAAATAGTACAGTAGAAGCCAAGTTCTTCAGGATAATCTTTAACCCTCTCCTTCTCCCCTGCTGGGTGGAATTTCCAAAAAATCCCTTCTTAGTATGCATTCTCATGGCATACTTTCTGTACAAAATTTTAACTTTCAACTCCTAATCATTTGGGCTCTACGCTTATTATCATTATCATTATTATTATTATTATCAACCCATCTCAATAATATTATAAGATATGTAGTCTTGGAGATTGTGAATGCTTCGTATAGTAAATACTGACCGACTGTGGGAGCTAAACTGATTAAAGAAGGGAATTTGTTATGCAAGAGAGCTGGTGGTTGTTATGTGAGAAGTGGCTGTAATCTGTTTATTGTCTAAGATGAAAATTTATTGATACAGTGAATGGTATTTTTACAAAGATTCTTAAGGCTCAATTACACTGGTTGAGTTTATTAGTTGTTTGCCAGCAAATAAATTAGTGAATGAGTAACAAAATTATTATTGGAAATGGGCTATTTCTTGCGGTTGTGAAAGTAATTTACAGTTCAGTTTAACAAATTCTGGTAAAATTTTTGTTCTCTTTGTAGTATGAAAAGTAACTTTATGACAATGGTGTTTTGCTAGAGCAATGGCAAATTTTGCTTTACGTCAAGAATTCACTTTATTGGTGTTTGTTTTAAGGCAAATCAACTGTATAAATATAGGAGTATTTGTAAAATAAATAAATGTGATTCATTGATTTGATAGTTCACATAGGACAAAATAAAGATGAAAAATATTTGTTTTATATAAATAGTTAAGAAATAAATCTTGAATTTAATATTAATTTAATTATTTTATAAATTTTTCTTTTATAGAATTATTCATTTGTAACAAATGCAATAAATTTCTATCATGACTTTCTGTTTTGTTTTGACAAAATATTTTGAATTATTTCTTAACTAAATTTGAAATATTTTGAACTTAAGTATATGAAATTATCTTATAGATTAATAAAATTTTTTTAATCTGTATTCCTATCTTAAAAATGATAATCATTATTGAACTTTGTTTCTTGGCTACTTTAATAGTTCTATTATAATGTGAGAATTGATCTGTTGAAGTATTATTAGTTTTTAAAGATAATGGAAAATTATAATTATCATCTAAATTTTAAATTATTTATTCTTATCATATATCTTAATATATAGGTATCATGGTTTATATCATAGGTAATCATAGGTATCATGGTATAATGGTAATATAAAGGTACAACATGGTTTGAGAATTGGGGAGACATTCCACAGAAGTCAGAAGACTGACTTCTGTGGAATAAATGCTTGATTGTGTGGTTCTAGTGCAGAATTCCACAACTAATTGTATATTTGAAAATATGTCTTCATGTTCTGAACCTTAAGAAGAACTGATTTGCTTGTATTTTGGTGCAAATTTTAAAATTATAAATTAATTACAGTATTTCATATTGTAATTCAAATTTCATTATTTCTATTAAAGCAATTAAGCATAAAAATTATTTTGAAAACTAGATTTTTAATCAAAAAGCTTCCTATCTTATTAACTTTCAGTTCCAATGTAAATGTCAACTGACTTAATTAATTATAAGGTATTGTCACAGCATGCAAAGCACCAACTTTAAGAGAAAGTGTAATTTTTTGAATTAGAGTGAACATTGTCAGTGTATAGTGTATACTTGAGTTCCTAAGGATGATGATAAGATGAAATTATAAAATCACATAAGCATCATGACCAACATTAAAGTTGCAAAATGTGCCCCTGGTCATAATGTGGCTTGTGTGGAGAAGCAGGAAGCAGGAAAGCCTGATGTAATATAATTGTTATTGAATTTGGAATTATTGAAATGCTTTATATTACATATTGACTGATATTTTGTACTAACCAAACTCAACGTTGAAATACCTATTCTTATCCACAGAATCACAACATTCTCTATATCAGCATTTCTCAATGTTTTTAAGCCTGAGGACAATATTCAGTTAAAGCAGTGGTTCTTAACCTTTTTATACTCACAGCCTACCAAATATTTCATAATTTTTTTGTGACCCCCATTTTTTTTAAAATAATAATTTATGTTTGTTAAATTATCTATAATAAATTGAGTTTTTTATTACTGCTTTATTTTTTTATATAATAAATGTAAACATAACTTTATTATTTCATTATCTATTTAAATAACATTTAAACTTCACAATTAAACATAAAAACTCATTCTTATTTTATTCTTTTGTTAAAAATTAAACATTTAAAAATTCATAGAAAAAACAAAAAATATTCAAAAATAATTTAATGAGATTTCTTCTGCTGAATATCCTCAACTAATTTGTTAATTCTTGGTTCAATTGTTTGTAATGCTATCTGCATGCAAGCATATAATTGCAATTGATTGCGTTTTTTGTTTTTATATCCACCATAGTTGAGAACCCTTTTTCACACAAATAACAAAGTTGTGTGTAGGAAGAAATAAGAAATAAAGTTATCGCATTTAGTTAGTAATATTCATTAAAGCTAATATGTCTATAGATGTCATCTTTTAAAAATATTATACAGGGGGTTCATAAACCTCATTTTTAAAAATATAGTAATTAATATTTTTAAGTTACTGTAATCTAGGATTACAATGATATGCACACATTTGTGCAAAATTTGAATAAAATCATCTCTAGAGTATGGATAGAAATTTAATACTAGTTTTAGAATTCTTAAATTGATACATTTTTAATAAAATACAAAAATATAGAAGATACAAAATGTCTTTGAATACCTGTCTTCACAATCACCAGCAACAAACAATCTTCATCTAGAGGCGACCTTTTTATGGAGACTACATCTCAATAATGCAAATTGATTAAAACATCCTTTTGTGACATTGCTGGTCCTCTGTAGATAGAGGATTGTTGTCACTGGTGATTGTGAAGATGGGTATTTGAAGACATTTTGTATCTTCTATATTTTTGTATTTTATTAAAATGTAAATACCATCTGCCAATTTTAAATGATATATTTTTATTATTTGATATAATATTTTGATTCTTAATAATCTATGTTAGTTTATCATAAAGTGATGATAAATATTTTCAGTGTTTTAAGTAGAACAGATAGAATGAGAAAGGGAACAAAAGTTTGTTCATTTTCATTACTGTATATTAGTTCAGTAACAACCATGCATGATGTTATCACTGTTTGATATATATCTAATTTTGTAATAAAATTACTTTATTTAAAATAAAATCTGCCTTGAATTACTCTTTATGTGAATAATAATTTAATTGGCAGAATAACAAACTATTTAATCTTCCAAAGTTCCAAATTGTGTATTTCTCTTTTACTAGTTTGATATTATATTTGAATTTTTAGTATCAAATATATGAGAATAATCTGTATATTTAATAACTATTGCATTTTTAAATTTGTAATATTTAACAAAAGGTTTGTATATATTAGTCTTATATTAGTAAGTATATATATTATCTTATATATTAGTACATGCATTCTACATATATAAAAAATTTTACTTCCTTTTAATTTTTAATTTTTAAAACTGAAATTACCTAATGTGAATATTAAAATTTATGTAGGAAGCACTTGAGAATATTCCAATTGCAAATAGAACAGGCTTTCTTCTTGCTGCTGTATCAGCTGGAGACAACAGTGATGAGGTAATAATGTTATAATATTTAACTCTTAAATAATAATATACTAATTTAAAGTGTTATGCTATTAACATTTAATTAAAAATTATGATATATGATGTATCTATATATAAAAATACTAATAAAATATATTATCTAAATAATTGAATTAATTATTACCTACAGTAGAAACTGCTTTAGAAGATAACCTTTGGGATACACAAAAATGGCCTCTAAATAAATGTAATCTTTTACTTATAAGAGCAGTTAATCTTTCTTTTTTCATTTAAACTTTACAAAAACTTTGTTTATTTATTTAAATTGATATACTTTGTTTAACTTTTCTAAAATTTAAGCTAATTAGATCTATATAAGTGTTTTGAAGTAACAGAATTCAATACAATTCACCATTGAAAAATTTTATCATATTAATTTATACAATGTGTTTTTTCATAATTAATGAATGTGCCAACTTAAATAAAGGAAAAGTATTTCCTTAAATAAAATTATAATTTAAAGAATAATAAACAAAAAATTTCTGTTTTAACATTAATTAAGAAACTTATACTGTATTTCTGAGAATGTTCTTATGTGCGTGGAAATACAGTGTGTTCTTAATTATGTGATGGTTAAATGTTCACAAAGGATAAAAATAACAATGACACAACTTAAACAGTTCTGTATTAAACTGAACCTTAATTTTCTGCACAAACAATTTAAAGTTTTCATGATACTTACAAAATTGAAACAAACAAATCTAAGTAGTTGGCAAAAATTATTATAATAAATTTTAATCATGAATTATAATAATTACTACATTGGAATACTTTTTTATTTAATACATGTAATTAATTTTAAAACAGTTTGAGGATTTTTCAAAGTTACAACAATGCAGGAATAAATTTTACCAACAACATGTGGGAAGGATATGCATCAATGATTGAAAACAGATTTTATTCAAATTGATATTTTAAAAGTAAATTATATTTTTTATTTTATTATTATTTTTTTATTTCTCAAAAAGACACTGTGGCCAGGTTGGTCTTTTATCTTAGAGCAAAAACCAACAAAACCACAAAAAAAAGAATAAGTAAAACAAAAACAGGACACAAGCTGAGAAAGAAAATTACATTCTACCTCAAGTCTAAAAATTAATTGAGAACAAATATCACTGTGGCTTAAAGTTTTTTTCTTTTTTTACATTCTTTTTGAAGATTTCATAACTTGATATGGTTTGTAAATCATTGCACAGACTATTCCAATAGAAGAATAATTGAAAGATCAGTGCAGATCTCCCCACCTCTAGTTTAACAGTTGGGAGACTATATCCACGAATTATACAAGTATCTCGTGTTGATCTGCGACATTCTCCTATACCAATTACGAGGAAGCTGTTTTCCTTTTTGCCCTTTATATACAGTAGAGCATTGATTATACGACTCAATTGGGGACTGGGGTTGGTCGGATAACTGAAAAAACGGATAACCGAAAAATATGAAAAAATACATTATTAGTATAGTATATTAGTATATCTCATGTAATTAGTATATTAGTATATCGTTA